AAGCTCTGTACTGTCAGCACAGAACTCAACACGGGGCTCGATCTCACAAACCTTGAGCTAATGACCTGAGCCGCCGAATCGAGAGTCAGAAGCTTAACCGACTGAGTCACCCAGGTGCCCCTACAGACGGAGGTTTTAAGAGGCAGCCCCAAGTCACAGTTGTGAGTTCTGATTCTGCCTCTTATTAGATCTGTTGTCTCTTTTCAAATTGCCTCACCTCCCTGAGCCTCAGTGTCCTCATCTGTAAAACAGGGATAATGGAAGTACTCAGGGTTGTTGTGAGGAGTATATGAGGCAGGTAGCATGTAGCAGTGGCGTACGTGGCTCAGTACCTGGCTGGCACTTAATCTCCCTTCAAGTAATGTTAGCCACGCTCTTTATTGTCTGTGTGTTAGATTATCTAAGGGTCGTGCCCAAAGCTGAAAAAAGTAAAATAAGGGCCACCTGGGTGGCTCAGTTGGTTAAGCATCTTGACTTCGGTTCAGGTCATGATCTCACGGTTCGAGGGTTCGAGCCCCGCGTCGGGCTCTGTGCTGACAGCCAGCTCAGAGCCCGGAGCCTGCTTCAGATTCTGTGTCTCCCTCTCTCTCTGACCCTCCCCTGTTCATGCTGCCTCTCTCTCTCTCTCAGAAATAAATAAAATATTTTAAAAAACCTTTTTTTTTTAAAAAAGAAAAAGTAAAATAAAATAGAGTGAGGGGGTCAGACTAGAATATCTCCAACCTCTTCTGACTTTGGAACTGCTTCCCAGTAATATGTAACGTTAGAAACCCCAATAGGAATTATTTGAGCCATTTTGTAATTTTGTATGGCTCGTGAAAAAGGAAGTGATTTTAAGTTAAATGTACTCTTTTCAATATGTGTATCATTTCAGAATTTTTCCTAAGATTTATTTTAAACCATTTAAATTATATGCATGATGTGTGAAGATTAACTTTTGACTTCTCCCCTCTTTCCAAGTGGCTTGATCTACTTTACAGTCATAACAGAACAAAATACCTGGTTGGTGAACACATTTTGTAGCGATGCTACGTTGGGACCAAATAGACATTACAATAGGCTGACATGTAATGAGAGGCTGGGAATCACTTGCATGACCTGAGGGGTTGAATTCTTTTTTATTAAAAATATTTTTTTAATGTTTATTTATTTTTGAGAGACAGAGATTGAGAGTGAGTGGGGGAGGGTAAGACAGAGAGGGAGACACAGAATCCAAAGCAGGTTCCAGGCTCTGAGCTGTTAGCACAGAGCCCCGACGTGGGGCTCAAACCCACGAACTGTGAATCATGACCTGAGCCGAAGTTGGACACTTAACCAACTGGGTCACCCAGGCACCCCGAGGGGTTGAATTCTTGCATTTAATGCTTAAAAAGCCAGTTTGTTTTTTTAAAAACATTTTTAAAAATACATTATTTAAAAATAATTTTTAAAATTCCTCATGGCTTTATTTTATTTTATTATTTTTTAATTTTATTATTTTCTTAATGTTTATTTTTGAGAGAAAGAGAGACAGAAACAGAGTGTAAGTGGGGGAGGGGCAGACAGAGAGGGAGACACAGAATCCAAAGCAGGCTCTAGGCTCAGAGCTGTCAGTACAGAGCCTGACACAGAACTCGAACCCAAAGCCATGAGATCATGACCTGAGCCGAAGTCAGACACTTACCCACTGAGCCACCAGGCACCCCAAATTTGTACCTTTTTAAAAAGAATCTTATGTTTGTCAAGAGAAAGTAATCTCAGGTCCCTATTTGCAAGCCTCTCTCTGCATTTGCCCTGCAGGTGTGGATCACCTTTATGCCCAACACGGGAGAAGAAAGAACACATATTATTTTCTCTTTTTAACAATCTTTGAAATGCTGGGAAGCATAAGAATTTCCCTGAAGTGCTTTGTAAGAAACTTGATCAGATAAACACAACTTATGAATCTTGAGCAAATTTTCAGAGGAGGTATCATCTTCCTTCTCATTTTCTTGTGTTTTTGACATCAGAGTTCCTTTTGCATCCTGTCCTTAATCATTGGTTCAAGAAGGGTATAAATTAAATAATAAACAATTAAGAATAAGACGAGTGTAAAGCCATATATATCAGCCAAAGCCACTCTAGTCGCCAAATAAGAAACATCCTGGGTGGGAATTCATTAGATCACCATTCATCTGATCACTGCTAACTTCTGCTTTTGTTTTTTTTTATCCTAAGAAGCTCTCACACTGAGAAAAAAAATCTTTTAAAGAGAAAAATAATAATTCACTAATTTTTTAAAAAATGGAAAACAAGCACTATGAACCTCTAGTGTGTGAACCTTCTGGAACCCCTTCCTCCTTGTTGGGAAAAGCTGGTAGAAAGTAGAAATACAGACCTGAGCCTGACTCTGGTCTCTGCCATTTACCGGCTGTGACTGAGCCTCAGTGACCTCATCTGCCAAGTGGGTATTATGAAGATCGGACTCACGTGAAGTCTTGGAGAAGGTTTGTGAGACACCCTGCACCCCCTCCCAGTTCTCAGCAGCCTCCCATCCCCTGCCCTCAGCTCCGTCAGATTCCCCAGGACCCAGACAGATCCACGAAGACACACAGAGGATGATTCGCTGTCTAGCAGAGGCAACACCGTGAACGCAGCTGTGGTTCTCGGAGGAACTTTGGGGCGGCCCCAGTCCCCCAGGGAGAGGAGGGCGGCGGCGGGGCCGGTAGCTGCAATGGGAAGGGCTGCCTCTGACTCACTGTGTGAGCAGAAGACTGGGGGCCTCCTCTGGAGGGGTAGGAGCAGGTGGGGCGAGGTAGAGGGAAGCAGCAAAGCCCACAGGACGCTCGGCCCAACCCATTTCTGTCCGAGGGTCTCCCCAACATTCTTGTGATTTGGGTGAGACCCCAGCAGCCTTCCTTCCTGAGCTTGGCTTTAATGACACTGGGGACTTCTCCCCTTCTGACCTACCCTATTGATGATCTGCCCTTTTCTGCCATTTTCTTTCCTGGGCATTTGGGGTGTTCCCTAGATGGGGGTGGGGCAGGATACACCCCATGCTCTGTGGACCCTATCTCTGCCCAGGAGATGGAGGGAAGAAGGAATTATGGTCTTCAATTTTCTTTTCCGTGCTCAGCTGGAAGAGGGTTCACGGTTTCTCAAGCCTGCATTGCACCTTAGCATTTGCAAGGCGCTCTCCACACCCGTTCTGTTTGCTTCTGACTACGGTGTAGCCAGTTCTAGATTCAGACAGAGCCGGGCTTTCTAGATTCAGACAGATCCAGGTTTTCTAGATTCAGACAGATCCAGGTTTTCTAGATTCAGACAGATACAGGTTTGAGTCCCGGCTTTGCCACGGATTGCCAGCTGTGTGACTGTGGGCAAGGTCTTAGTTCCGTGTGAGCTTCAGTTTCTCACCTCGCAGATGTGGGGGGTGACAGCAGGCCTCTCCCTCACGGGCTGTTGTGAGCACTGGGCCAGGTGAGGCGGCCCAGCTAGCGGAGTCTAGGACATAGTGAACTCTTGCTAAATATTAACTTAAGAAAATGAACTTCCCTTTGTGGCAGGTTGGCAATGTTTTGCTTCATTTTTCGAGTTGGAGAAACTGTAGGTTAGAAAGGTGATGTGACTCACCCAAGGCCACCTGACTCATTGGTGAGGGACACTTGTGTCTTCCACAGGATTCAGTGACTGCTAGCACAGGTGGAGCCTAGCGTGCTGGACTTGACACTGGCCGCACTCTTCCTTGGCTGGTCGACCTTGAATGAGTCACCATTACCTAAGGGCCTTGATTTTCCTTCTCTGCCTGTCTCCCTTCAAAAAGCAGCCTTGGTGTCTCCAGGCTCAGGGACTTTTTGCAGGGGAGGAGGTCGAAAGCAGAAGCTGTCTGAAGACAGCCCTTCTTCCTGTCCTTTGTGAGAACCTGAGTTCTGTGAGGTTAAGCGGGGTTCCCAGGTAGGTGGGGAGAAGAGCCTACATCTGTGATTCAAAGCCAAGGACACAGGAGAGATGGCCCCGGAGTATAAAGGGACCAGAGGTCACGGGCCCCTTGAGTGTTGACATCCTAGGCTCTGCTGCCTTGGGGAAATGGGTGGGGGGGGGTGCTCGGGGGGGATGTTCCCGGGTGGCTCACCCTGAAGTTGAACCCAAGGCACAGTGCTTTCAAATCTTGGCAAAGAATCTAGACTCCAGGCCTGCCAGGGAAGTGGACAGGGCTGGACTTCAAGGGATCAAACCCCTTTGGACAATGGCATCTATGACAGGAAAGACCAGGGTGGCACGAAGGCCAGGCTGCCTCCCTCGTTCTCTGCTCTGAGTCCCTAGGATGCCATGCGCGATGCTGGAAGGCGAGGAACGCTCATTACACACCAAGACTCAATTTCTGGTCAGCCCAGTAGGGTGAGAGCTCGGAGTCCTACTGAACGTGCTTTCATAAGAATGAATAAAAGAACATTCTGTGCATATCTGAGAGCACAGGGTACGCAGGATTGATAGGTGCACCAAGATGAGGAGGGAACAGAAGAGATACACTGCGCGGCTGGGCCTTGCTGCCATTTTGCCCGCGTTAACCACCTGGTCTCAACCTTCCCAAAGGTAAAGGGCATGCCCCACCCGTTCAAGGGAAAAACAGCCTGAGCCTCATGGCCCTTATCTCTGCTCCACAGCAGAAGCTCGTAGTGTGAGGATCAGAGTCTCCGCTGCAGTCATTTGCTGAGCCCGGGTACCCGCCTGGTGCCAGCATCAGCCCGCCAGCCCCCACCACAGGCCCCCGCGTGCTGGTCTCCCGCCCAATGTCCTCAGAAGAGGGAGTTGAATGAGAACGAAGGGGGCTGAGTTTCCTGAGGCCATGGAGTTACCAGCACTGAACTCCACCTGGGTGCTGGCCCGGGGCACACTCGCAAACACGACTGTCCTGCTAAGTGGAACCGCTTAGCCTCCTGGGGCTAGAGGGGCTCTAACACCACCCAGCTGCCCCAGACAGGCGAGCTGTGCTCCCTGAGCCTCAGCCTCCCCCCTGTCAAGCGGAGGGGCCCTGTACTCACCAGCTGATCTCTAAGGCCTCTTCCAGCCGATCTTTTGGGGTTCTTTCTGGGCCCCACGGTCTGCTCATTAGGCCTGACCGTGTAAGGCAGGACACCCTGGTGGTGAAAGGGTGGCTGTGGAGCGGAGAGTCTGAGTTCAATCCAGTGCCTCGCCGAACGGTCATGTGACATTAGGTAAGTCACTTACCCCCTCTGTGGGCCGGGGAGTGATAACGGCACTGACTGCAGACAGCTGCTGTGAGGGTTAAATAAGTCAGGCCCCGTAGGACGGTGCCGTCTGCATCGGTGACTATCTCCTGTCCTGACCTTGCTGGTCCTGTCCAAAGGGGAGGCCCGCACCAGCCCCGAGCGTTGCTGTGACTGGTCCTCAAAAACCTTAGGAGTCATCCTCATATACCGTCAATTTCCTGGCCCCGGGCAGGCCCCCCTCCCAGCTTCTTACGTCCCTGGAGGGAAGGGGTAAAGTAAGAACACGGGTTTTCTGGAAGGCAGCTATGCTAACCACTCCACCACCAATGGCACACACAACACAGTTTTCTGCAATGAGGATGAAGCCCCGAACACAACAGCTACAGAAAGCTACTCACGGTGGTCTGTGGCTGAGCTCCCCGATCCCACTGGGCGTCGCAGAGTCCTGGAGGGACCTGGCCCCGGGTCCCGGTCAGATCTCCTATTGAACACCCACCCAGTGTTCAAGTGAACGTTGAACAGCTTTCACTTGCTTTTGCTCTTTCTCACAGATGAGTGAGTGTGGGGAGGCCTGGCCTTCCGTCCCGTCACCACTTCCCTTCTGGGTCACCATTGCCACAACATTCTTGTGCCTGTAGCTGAGGTGTTTCTCACAAGGAACTCTGGCCAGGGTAGGGCAGAGGTATAGGCCCTGGGGTCAAGGGACTTGGGTTCTAATCCAACAGAGCGGTTATGACCTTGCGCAATTCGCTTAACCTTCCTAAACCTCAGTTTCTTCATCTGCAAAGTGGAGATAACGCACCAGCCTTACACAGATCACCTCGAAGGACATTCCATTCCAATCCCTCTTGCCTGCAGATCAGAGCTTTGAAATCCAATGCCTATAGGCACCTGCCAGAGAACATAAACAGGTGAAGGGTGCTGGTATGGGGTAAGAGAAAGTAGTGGGGACTGTGGGGGAGCGGAGACATATGACCCCGTCAGAGGGGGCCGGCACCTCTCAGTTCCAGCCAAGCCCTGCTGCATGGGAGTGAAGACCCCAAATGCCAGCTGGCCCAAGCATTTGGAACACGTGCCCCTTTTTCCAAGAGATAATAGAAATCCTGACCTTTGCATAATGGCTTCCAATTTTAGAATGTTGACCACATAGTCATATATTTCAAAAATGCTATGTGGGTCAAACCAACACTATTTTTCATTCACATTTGCTAGATCATGGGCTCTCTGAAGGCAGGGATTATGTCCCTAATGCCCTGGTTTTTCATACCTGTTATCAGATAGGATATTTATGTATTTTTTTATTGTTTCAGGTTTTAATCTAAATTCCAGTTGGTTAACATACAGTGTAATATTAGTTTCAGGAGGAGGATTTAGTAATTCAGGACTTCCATACAACACCCAGCACTCATCCCAACAAGCACCTGCCTTTATCTCCAGCACCCATCTGGCTCATCCCCCCCACCTCGCCTCCAGCAGTCTGTTTTACGGTTTATCAGATACAATATTTAATGAGATCTACTTCTACCTACAGGTACAGAGATGAGTATGATAAAGTGCCTGCCTCCAAGATGACTGGCATTTGATTATCTCGTTAGATCTTTTTAGTTACTGCCCCCACTTCCCAGACCTCAGTGGATGGAGCTAGGCCTTCTCAGGAAGGGGGATTTTGCCCTTGAGGCAGAAATGCTGGACTCAGCAAGAAAAATACAGGGTGGGAACATCCGACATACAGCTACTAAAAATTATTTGTTGTTTATCTGAAATTGAAATTTAACTGGGCATTCTGTATTTTGTCTAGCAACCTTGCACAGAGGGGACATCTGGCAATGCCTGAAGACATCACAACTGGGAGGGGTTCTACTGATGCCCAGAGAGTGCAGCAGAGAATGCTAGAAAACACCCAGCCCAGTGGCAACAGCGCTGAGGTGCAGAGGTGCCACTGTGGGCCAAAGCGAGTAATGACAGATCAAACGCATGCATGATAATGAATGAATGAATGAATGAAGAGAAGAAGGCAGCTATTTAAAGGCAAAGGTGGAGGGGCACCTGGGTGGCTCAGTTGGTTGAGCGTCTGACTGCGGCTCAGGTCCATGACCTTGCGGTCCGTGGGTCTGTGAGTCCGTGAGTTGGAGCCCTGCATCGGGCTCTGTGCTGACAGTGTGGAGCCTGCTGGTGATTCTCTCTCTCTCTCTCTCTCTCTCTCTCTCTCTCCTTCTCACTGTCCCAAGCCTCCTTGTTCTCTCTCTCTCTCTCAAAATAAATAAACTTGGAAAAAATTTTTAAACAGCAACAGGATGGCTCAGTCGGTTAAACATTTGACTTCAGCCCAGGTCATGATCTTGAAGTTCTTGAGTTCGAGTCCCACGTTGGGCTCTGTGCTGACTGCTTGGAGCCTGGAGCCTGCTTCAGATTCTGTGTCTCCCCCTCTCTCTGCCCTTCCCCCACTCATGCTCTGTCTCTTTCTCTCAAAAATGGACAAACATTAAAAAAATATATAAAAAAAGATTTTTCAAGGCTGGGGTAGAAAGAACACTGGGAATCTGTGGTCTTGGCGACTGCCTGGCCACGTGATGTTACTTCCTCTGTGTAGCAGCATTTCCCCATTCCTAAAATGAGGAAGTCGGAGCTAATCGATGTGTCTATAACTTCCGCATGTATCTGAATGGCCCTGAGGGCTTGTTCAAACACAGATTGGCTGTCCCTTCCACCCCAGGTTTCTGACTGAAGTATTCGGGGTGGGGGGGGAAGGCCTGAGAATCTGCATTCTTAACAAGTCCCCAGGTTGGCCCTTGGACACTTTTTGGGGAGCCTGGAGAAGACAGTGGATAAGGCCCCTCTTGCCCGGTCAGCCCAGGATCTCCAAATTTCCCGGCTACCCTGGGCAGGGCTGATGGGACCCCCAAAGGAAGTCTGTTCTCTTTTTTTTCTCTTCCGGAGAGGGCTAGGTGCCTCTGCAGGGGAGGGTCCAGGAGCTGGTCTCCCCTCTGGACAGCCAGCCTCACCAGCCCGTGCACTGTGAGACTCCGCCACCTACTGGTGGCATCTGTCCCATGCTGGGCCTCTCACGGGGCTACCTTCAGGGCCTGATTGAAGGAGGAACATTTGGGGTGACATCTTTCCCATTGGGCCCCAGGGAAGCAGACTGTGTAACGTCTGGACCATCTGACCCCTTCCAATGACTCTGTTTCCGGTATGGATGCCGGTGCCTGAATTAACCAAGGAAAATGAAAACAAAATGCACTTGCAAGTACGTAGGATAGCAGGTTTCACCAAACTGTTACTCTTTTTATCTTCTAAAAACCCAACGCCCAGTTATTTTAATTCACTAGATGCAAATGGTGGTGGCGATATTTATATGGAAAAGGATTGTGTCTCTTATGAGTCTTTACTGCATACAGGTCCTCTTTTAGGTGGTTGCGTAAGACCTGTTTAAAATGTGGTGATTCATTGATCAAACTCAGGAACAAACCAAACCAGTAGCAATGTTGGCAGGCAGGCAGTGACACAGACACTGAGCCCACTCAGTGGGAGTGTGGCCTGAAAGGAGGTCGGCTCCGGGCTTTGCAGAGTGGGATAGCGGTTCGAGTGCAGCCTCTGGACATGGGCTACACCTCGGTTTCAATTCTAGCCTGGGGGGAACATACTATACTGGTCAAAGTACTTTCTTAATTTCTTCAGCCAGAGACGAGCAACTTGGCATCTGCTGATGTTTGTCAAACTTCATCAGATCACCAGGACGGCTGGAAGAGTTCGAAGTACAGAGATGCTCCTTGGACAGGTCCAGGGGCCCTGGTAGTACACTTGTCTTAACCAGGTCCCTTGTCACCTACGTGACACCCTGGTCAAGCCCTCCTGCAAGCCTTAGCTTCCTCACCCGGGCATCTTCAAAGGGTGATCGCAGGTATTAAGTGAGTCAGTCCTGCACAGAGCTGTGGCTCGTCTCGTGAATCTCAAACATGCCCATAGCATTTGAGATGGTAATTAACTTGTGGAAACTTATTTTAAGAAATTAATCATATGATCAAAGATGTTACGTTGGCATTATGTATGATAATGAGAACCAAGAGGCATTCTAAATATCCGATAATAGAGGAATTATTTAATAAATTATGGTACATCCATGTGTTGAAAGGTAATACAGCTTTTTGAAATGAAGCTTCCTTTTTTTTTAATGTTTATTTATTTTTTTGAGAGAGAGAGAGAGAGCAGGGGGAGGGGCAGAGAGAGAGAAAGAAAGAGGGACAGAGTATCTGAAGCAGGCTCTGAGCTATCAGCATGGAGCCTGATACGGGCCTCGAACCCACGACCGTGAGATCGTGACCTGAGCAGAAGTCCGACACTTAACCAACTGAGCCACCCAGGCACCCCAGAAATGAAGCTTAAAAAAAAAATCACAATGACTTTGGAAAATGCTCACAATATAAATGAAGAGAAAAAAAGCAAAAGGTGTGGACATTATGAGATGATATCCACATGTTAAATATATGAAGAGGTGTTTAACAGGGGCAGGGGCTGGAGGTAGGGATTTGGGATGGGGGGATAGGCCTCCTCCCCACTCCCTTCTACATTTGAGCCACTGGGGCATCGGTCCTTATCTTAGCTTCTCAAAGATACCACACGTTCTCTAACCTTAGGGCGCTCAATGCCATTCCCTCAACTAGAAAGCTCTGCCCTGTAATTCATTGTTCAGGTGTCAGCTGCAATGCCATTGCCTCCCCTGCGAAGCCCTCCTTGACTACCAAGGTAAGGTTAAATCCCACTGTTATAAGCAGTTCTTATATTTATAATTTTTGTCCTTCCTTGTCTGATGACTACACACCCCAGCGCATCACAGATCTGCCTATTGTACTCACTGCTGTATCCTTTGCAACGGGCCATAGTGTCTGGCACATAGTAAGCACTCTAGAAAAATTTGTGAACGAGTAGTCTTTGGTGAGGTCACTCAAGTGTTATTTGGGAAGCACATGGGAATCAGGAGTAGACTTGATCAGCATAATGTTAATAATCCTTAGGCAATGTTGTCTTCAAGCTCTTCCAGACCTTGGGCGGGTCCTTTCTCTTCTCTGGGTCTCAGTCTCCCCCTCTAGAAAATGAGATAGTCGGGTTTCCAGGACTGGCAGATAGATTTTAGCTTCGGTGCCAGGTCAGGTATTTTGGTGGTTGTTACCAGACCATAGCATTGGGAAGGATTCTGGAGCTGAGTGTATAAGCTCAGTAGGAAACTGTGTCATGATCAGTTAATGAGGTCTGTGGCCGTGGAAGACGCGCAGCAGTAGTCCGCAAGCCGAGTTTTGGTGTCCTCGGAATGTAATTCTTAGGGTTTTGGGGGGGTCATGGCTCTCTGTAAGAATCTGATAAAATTTGGAGTGCCTGTGTGGCTCAGCCAGTTAAGCATACAACTTCAGCTCAGGTTGTGATCTCGCTGTTCTTGAGTTTGAGTCCCACGTCGGGCTCTGTGCTGACAGCTCAGGGCCTGGAGCCTGATTCGGATTCTGCGTCTCCCTCTTTCTCTGTCCCTCCCCTACTCGCACTCTGTCAGTCTCTCTCTCTCTCAAAAATAAATCAACATTAAAAAAATGTTTAAAAAAAGAATCTGATAAAATGTAAG